TCTGCAATTCTGGTACTCATTCATAGGAAGCCCATGTGCCAGAAAATCTAAGTCACATTCTCCAGTATCACCTTTATACTGTAGGAATAAAGTCTACATAATGTTCTTATTTGTTTGTAATATTTTTCAGTTGGTGTACAACTAAGACTAGGAGCAGGAAGGCATTGTGGGGGCCCTTTAAAGATCCAAGCGTTGAGGAGCGAGACCATAAGAATGCTTGGGGAGCTGGTGAGACATAGAAAGGAGAGTTGACCTGTGAGCTTACCTTAAGAGCCTGCCCAAGGGCAGAGCATAACAAGTGCCCCTAAAAAGCAATTTACTACCAAGAGTTCTGAAGAGAGATGGCTCAGGATGTGTAACCCCTGTTTTTCCTTCCAAACTCACTAATCAAAAAAAAACGGATGCCAGATTTTAGGTGTTGAGAATGAGCCTGCCCGTCACAGTTGCCATAGCAACCTGACGTAATAAGGACGACTGCGGCGACTTTTTCCTGATAAGTGCCATAGAAACCTGATGTAATAAGGGCGACCCTGCTGACATTTTCCTGGCATGTCATAGAAACCTGACTAATAAGGGTGACCAAGGTGACATTTTCCTGGCAGGTGCCATAGAAACCTGACTTATATGGGCGACTGCGGCAACTTTTCGTGGCAGTGGCCATAGAAATCTGAGGTAATGAGGGCGCTCTTGGCGACTTTTTTCTGGCAGTTGCCATAGAACCTGACATAATAAGGGTGACTGGATGACTTTTTCCTCCCAGTTGCCATAGCAACCTGATGTAATAAGGGCGACGGTGGCGACTTTTCCTGGCACTTGCATAGCAACCGGACATAAAAAGGATGACCAAGGCAACTTTTTGGTGGCAGTTGCCATAGAAACCTGACATAAAAGGGTGACCAGTGTGAATTTTTCCTGGCAGGTACCATAGACAGCAATCTGATGTAATAAAGGGGACTGCAGCAACTTTTTGTGGCAGTTGCCATAGCAACCTGACGTTATAAGGGCTACCCCGGTGACTTATTCCTGGCAAGTGAGATAGAAACCTGACGTAATAAGGGCTCCTGCGGCCACCTTTTCATAGCACTTGCCATAGAAACTGATGTATTAAGGGCGAGCACGGCGACTTTTTGTCTAATTGCCATAGAAACATGAGGTTATAAGGGCGACCGTGGCGACATTTTCCTGGCAGGTGCCATAGAAACCTGACATAAGAAGGGCGACCACGCTGACGTTTTTGTAGCACTTGCCATAGAAAGCTGACTGAATGAGGGCGACCCTAGCGACTTTTTCCTCCCAGTTGCCAAAGCAACCTGACGTAATAAGGGTGACAGTGACGAGTTTTTCTTAAAGACTAAGTTGGCATGGCGAGAAGCGCGGGGTCCTGCATTCAGGCATTTGGGACTCATCTGAGAATGCAGGTTTCCCGCGGTGGGGCCTGAACACACTCTGGGGTGTGAGGAGACGAAGGTATCCCAGATCCGAGTTGTGTTGTTCCGTGTTTGGGGCTCGGTATCCTGCTGTCTCCAGAGAGAGAAATGTGGGACCCTCCTGGCCCCAGTGAGGGTGGCGTTTTGCTCCAGGGTGTCCTAATGCTACTTTCCTCATAAAGGCGGGCACAGGATGAGACAGGTAACTACTCTCTCTGAGTCAGCTTCCCCCTCTGTAAAATGGGCATAAGAATGCTCACCACAGGATTGCTGGGACCAGAATTGTGAAAACACCTGGTTAAATAACAATCAGAGATTCCCATGTATCTGTCAGGTAAGTGTTGTGATTGGTTGGATGGTGTTCCTAGTAATTTCAGATTGTAATATGCATTCTTCAATGGTTGCCACTTTTTTATCCATTCTATAAATATTTGTAGAAGCCAGGAATCTATGAAGTGTTAGTTTAAAATGTCAGGTACAAGAGTTCTGTATTTTCAAAGTAATAATTACCTTATAGTTTACCCTATTATAAATGATACCCAGCCACATACCTTAGAATAACTTGATAGGCCTAAATATCATTATTATTATTTCCCAGGATGTTACATTTTCAGTTCTGCAGTACCCGGACTCATATCCCTTCCACTGCCCTGCCCCCTGGAAAACGGCATTTCTGTCGCTATATATTAGGTTTCATGTTTAAGAAACTTATTGAAATGGAATCATACAGGTGTTTTTTGTGGGTTTTTTTTTTTAAGCTATATCTGGCTTTTTTTATTACCCTTGTTTATTTTTAGATTTACCGATTATTATTACTATTTTCATTTACCTATATCAATAGTTTATTCCTTTTTGGTTGCTGATTAGTATTGTGGCATATGGCTACAACCGGAAATTATAGTATCAATTCACTCTTTGATGGATATTTTCATTGTTTCCAATTTGGGACTCTTCTAAATAAAGCTGCTATGAGCATTTATGAATAAGTCTTTTCATGGAAATATGCTTTCTTTTTCAAGTGTAAATACTTAGGATTACAATGGCTGGATCACACAACAAATGTAAGATTAACATTTTAAGAAACTGCCAAACTGTTTCCAAGTGGTTGTACCACTTTTCATTGCCACCAATAGTGTATGAGAGTTTCATTCTCCACAAACTTGCCAATACTTGATATGGTCAGTCTTTTTAATTTTGGTCATAGTATCTCATTATAGTTTTTGTTTACCTTTCCCTAATGATCAGTGATGTTAATCACTTTTTCATGTGCTTATTTGACATTTGTATATTTTCTTTAGTGGAGTGCCTATTCAAATTTTTGCCCATTTATTGGAGTGTTTGTTTTCATCATATTGAGTTTTGTAAAATTTTCCATATTCCAGATACAAGTCTTTTTTAAGATATATGATTTTCAAACATTTTCTCCCAGTCAGAGGTTGTCTTCTCATTTTGTGAATTGTGTATTTGGAAGAGCTGAAATTTTTAACTTTGAGGAAATCCAGTTTATTGATTTCTTCACTTATGAATTCTGATTTTGGTGTCTCATCTATGAAATCTTCATATATCCCAAAATCACAAGGATTTTCTCCTATGTTTTTTGGTAGATTTATAGCCTTAAGTTTTATGTAAGATCTATTATCCATTTGGGGTTAATTTTTGCATATGGTATGACATATGGGTCACAGTTTATATTTGTGAATATGGATATGCACTTGTTCTAGCACAATTTCTTGGAAAGATGATCCTTTCTCCATTGAATTGTCTTTGTACCTTTGTCAAAAATCAGTAGTCCATATAAGTGTGGGTCTTTTACTGGATCGTTTGTTTTATTTCTTTCATCCACTTTTCTACCTTGATACCAATAGTAAACTGTCTGCATTAATGTAGATTTGTAAGAAGTCTTTAAATAAGTTAGTGTTTCTCCTCAAACTTTGTTCTTTTCAAAGTTGTTTGTATTTCCACATGAACTTTAGAATCATTGTGTCAATTTCTTAACAAAAATTTGGGATTTTTTTTTTTTTTCTGAGACAGAGTCTCACTTTGTTGCCCAGGCTAGAGTGAGTGCCGTGGCATCAGCCTCGCTCACAGCAACCTCAAACTCCTGGGCTCAAGCGATCCTCCTGCCTCAGCCTCCCAAGTAGCTGGGACTATAGGCGTGCGCCACCATGCCCGGCTAATTTTTTTTTCTATATATATTAGTTGGCCAATTAATTTCTTTCTATTTTATAGTAGAGACGGGGTCTCGCTCTTGCTCAGGCTGGTTTCGAACTCCTGACCTTGAGCAATCCACCCGCCTCGGCCTCCCATAGTGCTAGGATTACAGGCGTGAGCCACCGCGCCCGGCCCACTTAGGATTTTTATTTGGATTGCAGTGAATCTATAAGTCAATTTGAAGAGAACAGACATCTTAACAATATTGAATCTTCCAACTCATGAAGACTATACGTCTCTATTTACATCTTTAATTTCCCTCAGCAATGATTTATAGTGTTTAATGTGCAGGTATTGGCAATAGGTAGACAAACTATTCCTAATTATTTTATACTATATTGCTTTTATAAATGATGGTATTTTTAATTACAATTTTCAGGTATTTTCCATTTTTACTGAGCTGTCAGCTGGCAAACGTTTAATATTAACTGTTGAGAAATCTTTGATGTTGAATCTCAAGTACTTACTCTAGGATGGAAAAGGTAATGATGCCTAACATGCATTTGCCCGTGTTTCTGTGTCACCTTATAGATGTTATCGACAATGTAAAAAACTAAAGAGAAGAATATCCTAGATACAATTCAACAGATCACCTAAAAAAAAATCCATTCCTAAAATAGTTTAGTACCTTTGAATTTTATGTGTCTGTTTAGAATTGAGTCTGTTTGAATGGTAGGGTTTTTCTTCTTTACTCCCCAGCCATCTACCTCAATAAATCCCTTGATCTTGAGGACAGAGAGAGAGAGAGAGAGAGAGAGAGCGAGAGCATGTATGTATGTGGGTATGTGGGTACATATGAAGGTTTATATTGCTAAACCTTCCAGGAATGCTTATTTTGAAGAATGCATGGCAATAATTACTTGTGCATCATGTCAGTGCTGTTCAGTTCTTAGCACATATTAGGAATGAGATCATAAAAGTGGTTGGTTGTTTTTTCCCCAGCTTTCTTTGGCTAGAATGGTTACCATGGTGACTCAGTGACAACTGTCGAATTTGGTGTAGCTTGAACATCCATTCATGATTTTTACCTAAATCACTTATTACTAATACAGCTGTCAAGTGTTGCTTTTCCAATGCTATAATTCCTTCTAGAATTATCACTTGGTATTTAAGTATAAAGCTTTCACTTCATTGTTATTTATTAATGTATTATATATTTATTTATATCAGACTCAGATTCCCATTTTTTTTTCTCAAAGGGTTACCCTCTGTTACTATCATTATATGTTTCGATGCTCAAATTGACCCAGAATTGGCCAGGGGAAGAACTTTCAAGTTGGCTTTAGTGTCCATTTGACACCTCCCTAGAATGCCTTGAGCATGTGTTTTACTCTCTGAGCCTGACTATCTCTTCATTTGCAGAAAGGAAGTAATGATGCCCATCTCAGAGCATGGCTTTGAGGATTTGAAGAGTAAAGGTCTGAAAATAACAACTTACAGCATGTACCATCTAGTAAGCCCTCAAGAAATTTAACTATCTCATTCCAACTTTGCCCCTTTCATTCTGTCAATGTGTTGCCTCTGATATTAACATAATAGTATCACTACCAGCAAGAATACTTAGAAATGTAACAGCAAGTAAAGATAAGCCCACATTTCCATTATGTGTGAGCTTCAGTGTCACTGCTGTGTGGGGGAGGGTATTGTGGAATGGAGGTGGGGCAGAGCTTCTAGTTAACTGAAAGGGGATAGGCACCCCACCCCTTGCATTTCATGTCCTTTCCCATCTCCTCACTTCACTTTCTATTCCATATGCTATTTTTTAAAAAATCCTATTTCTCCCTTTTGTAGTATGACATCTGACAAGGATGTGGAATATTCCCTAGACCAGGAGCTCATAGAGAAGAACCCAGTGTGTTGTGGAGTCCACTAAATAGGTTACTGGAGCAAGAGTGAAGAAATCAGGCTTCCTTCGTTGGGACATGTCAGGTCAGTCACTACCTTTTGGCCATCCTCTTTTATACTACAGGATAACAATTCCCATTCCTCTTGACCACCAATTATAGTCCGGAGTTTAATTGTGATCCCATGTGGGAAAGAAATCTGGGCTTAGGTGGGAGGAAAGGTCTAGTGCACTTTCACACAATTACATGAACAGAGACACTCCAGATGTCCCAGAACTCTACATGATGAGCATTAAATTAATGGTAGTCAAATGTGAGCTATCGATGTGAGGATTTTTCCAACTGAGGTCCGTGGACTACTTCATCAAAATCATAAGGGATTACTTGTTAAAATAGCAGATATTTCAGTCTACCCTAAGTCAATTGATCAAAGTCAGAGAGATGTCTACATCTTGAATAATTTCACCAGTTGGTTCTGTTTCTCATCCAGGTTTTAAAAGCACTTCTGTGGACTTGTGACAAGGTTCATTAAAATTTTGAATCCTTTAATGTCTAATTTCATTGTTATTTTCTCCTGTTATTCAGAATCAGTTGATGAATAGGATTGAGCTGAAAGAATATTAAGCTTTATTAAAGGCAAATGCCAACCATAAAAACATCAAAACTGTAAAAATCTCAGCCTGGAAATTTTATAGAACTCACATTTGTTGATCTTTTACTGTGTGCCTACCACTGTTCTAAAGGCTTTTATATATTAACTCAAGTGATTTTCAAAGCAAAAGCCCATGAAGTAGGGATAATTATTTTCCCCACTTTACAGAAGAGGAAACTGAGCCACAGAAAGGCTCTTTCACTCTCCCAAGGTCACAGAAAGCCAGATATTTCAATGACTTTGCAGTGGGAGTTTTAAAATACTGGGATTCCTGACTACTTACACTTGTAAAACTAAAACACAAAATAATATTAATATTTGTTTAAAAACATTTTGTTTTTAAACAGTAAGCATGGCATTATTTTGGCTTTAAAGATAAGGCATTTGAGTGACTATAAAGTGAAATATAAGTATTCAAAGTCAGATAGTTTTTAAGAACTAGGGCTTTTCCCTAGTCTGTCTCCAGAGTCCACACTCCTAACTAGTACACTTAGGAAGAAGAAAAAGACATGTGCTGAACCTTGTCAGTCTATGGTGTTTGATGTTAGACAGGACCATGTCTTTGGGTGAAAACTATTCTTCAGTAGCATTTCTGTCATGTACCAGGTGGTATTTATTTAAGAAAAATTAAAAGGTTATAATTGTAAAAACAAAAGGGTAATAATTTTTTAAAACACATAATCATCACATTTACTATGCTTTAGACAGCTTGGCTGTTAAATTCTGTGGACTTCCATGGTGAATTCTATTCCATTTTAGAAATTCAGAGTGTTATTAGAAATCACATTGTTCTATGCTTTGTTGATTGGGCAGCAGGGCTGGTCTGATCACCCTTTAATAGGTGAAACAGATGTATTGTGGTGAGTACTCAAGGCTCCTTAGAGTTAGTAGGTTAGACCTGTCACTGTGGTCCATGTATGTCTCCTGTATTGCACTCTGTTGCTTGTCCATCAGACATGGCATTAGTCTTATTGTTATGTGTAGTAAATCACTTTTCAGGGGCTCAAAAGATATATGCTTCTCTTACATAAATGTGCAGGTAATATAAGAAGACACTAAGTACCTTCAAATAAAAGGAAATGGGGTATTAATTTTCCTCTCCTTCCCCAAACTCTATTGGGATGTTAGAAGAAAAATTCCTGGACTCATAACAGAGTGTGCTCTTTTGTGTCTAGCTCTTTTTCAATCAACATAATGTGTGTGTCATTTACGTTTTGTTTTCTATACTTATAGATTGTCATTCTCATTGGTGGATAGTATTACATTGTGTGGGTATTTCACAATGTATATATCCATTATGAGGATTTACATATTTTTCAGTTTCCGACCTATTATGAAAATAGTGCTGTGAATGTTCTTATATATATCTTTTGGATAGACATTTATTTCTCTTGGGTGTATATCAAAGAGTGGCATTTCTGAGTTATAGGTCATGTGTATGTTCAGCTCGGTAGATGCTGCCAGTTTTTCAGTGTCGTTGTTCCAATTTGTATTCCAAACAGCGGCGTGTAAGAGTTGAACCATTCCACATCTTTGCCAACACTCGGAATTTTTCACCTGCTATATAGTCTGTATGCGTACCTTAAAATTCATGTGTTGGAAACTTAATCCCCATTGCTACAGTGTCGGGAGGTGGGGCTTTTTCAGGGAAAGAATTCCCACTGACGTGGCCCAATTAAAGGATAGGGGATGAACATAGAACATAAAATAACGATACAGACGCACATGGACATAACAATGATTCGAGTGACCAATGCACTGGTTGCTTTGTTTTTATACCCCCCAGACCCAAGGTTAGTTCCTTGTACGTGAGCATCTGAGCATAGCAGCGATATCAGTCAATTCTGGAGTTGTTTCAAAAGGGAACAATTTCCCTTGGTCTCAGACCTCAAAATGGTTACTAAAGTTAAGGTGCCAGACAGAGCTCAAAAGCCAAGGCCGAGATAGGCAACATAAAACAATGCAGCCATTTGAAGTGCTTCTTGGTCTCAATCCCAGGTGGCGGCTCCTCTCTGGCCCCCACGGTTGTATCTGTCTTAGGTCACCCCCCCATAGGGAGTCTTACCTGTCATTGACTACCAACCATCAATGGGGGTCCAGTTCTTGGGAGAGTTCTTCTTGTTCTTGTTCTCATGGCCTCCAGACTCCCACCACGAGGGCCCTCCGTGTGGGAGTTGGGAGCATTTGCTTATGTGCAACAACTCAGGCCTTTTACCAAGTCACAAGGCAGCAACCGTGTCTGAAGAAAATGCTGACTACTGCTGCATCAGGCAGCACACGTACATTACAGGCTGTAGTGAATGATTAGTATAAGGCATAACACCAGAATCAGCCCCCAGCACCCACTCTTGTCTTTCTGCCTTCCACCATGTGATAACACAGCAAGAAGGCCCTCACCAGATGCCCTGACCTTGATCTTGGAATTCCTGGCCTCCAGAACCGTGAGAGAATAAATTTCGCTGTTTGTAAATTACTCAGTCTCAGTTGTTCTGTTATAGCATGACAAAATGGACTAAGAAACCATGTAAATTACTCAGCCTCTGTTGTTCTGTTATAGCATGACAAAATGGACTAAGAAACCATGTTTTAAAATTTTTGTTGTTCTGGTGGGTTTGTGGTGGTGTATCATTGTGGTTTTAATTGTAATTTCTCTGATTTAATGCCTCTTTAACTTTCTCTGAAGTGTTATATCATTTCTAATCTAAAGGTCTCACCACTTATTTTTTTAATCTTCTAATTTATTTGCGTAAGAAACTGGATCTTTTGTCCTGTGGAATGCTAACACTGTTAAATATATTTTTACATATGGAGGTAGTGGCATAATTATTGTCTTGGCTCCATTAATACTCAAATTATATTAATAGTTTTTCTGATATTGAAACACTTTGTATACATGGAATAAGCTCCATAAGGTCATGATCTATTTTTGATGTACTTTTTATTGGGGTTTGCTAATATTTAAGAACAATCTTTCTTATTATTTTATCTGATTGTTCTGTAATTTTATTTTTGGTGCAATTTTAGCTGTGTTTTTAAATCACTTTTATACTTCTTCATTTTATATATTTCCCATACCCTTGAAATAGTTTGAATAATGTTGGTATTATCTTACATCTAGCAGTTTGCTAGAATTCTCTTCTGGAAATATCTAGGGCTGGTGCTTTTTTATGAAAGAATTATTTACTCAAATTCAGTATGTCTTATATGTGATTGATCTCATTAGACCCTTTGCCTTTACTGGGGCCAATTTGTGTAAGTTGTGTTTTACTAAAAAATTATCCATTTCATCTGTTTTCAAATGTATTTGAATAGAATTCTGCGAACTTTGCATTTAAGAGACTTCAAATTTTCTTTGTATTGAAGACTATATTGTAGTGAAAACTATGTCACCCTTGTCATTAAACTTCGTGCATTTTTCTTTCTCCCCTTTTTGATTAATTTATTCAGTGACTTTTCATGTTTTTGATATCCTCCCAAGCAAACCTGCCATGACTTTATACATAAATCTCACTGTAGATTTTTTTTCTAACCCATTTATTTCCACTTCCACCTCTAACTAGTTTTCTTGTTTGTTTGTTTGTTTTGTTTTTTTTGCTTGCATTCTTTTAGTTTATGTTGTTCCTTATCTGGCTTTCTGAATTTAATGTTCAGTTGATTTATTTTTTTTTTACCAGTCTAAGTATTTAATGCCTAAAGTATTCTCTGATAACTGCTGTAGTGGTACATTCTGATATATTCTGTTTTCATTATCATTATTCTCGTATAATTCCACAATTTTAATCTGTACTTGCATTTGAACGCAAAATTTAACAGCCTCATGTATTAATATGATTTTTCATAATTTTCCTTGTTCCTTCTGTCATTTTTGCTCTACAAAATTATATTTTTGCTGCATGATTAGTACATAAGTATTAATGACTAACATTCCTAGTGAATTTTAGCCATTATTATTCCCTTTTATTCTCTTATGTTTTTTTTTTTTTTTTTTTTTGAGACAGAGGTTCACTTTGTTGCCCAGGCTAGAGTGAGTGCCATGGCGTCAGCCTAGCTCACAGCAACCTCAAACTCCTGGGCTCAAGCGATCCTGCTGCCTCAGCCTCCCAAGTAGCTGGGACTACAGGCATGCGCCACCCACTATGCCCGGCTAATTTTTTCTATATATATTAGTTGGCCAATTAATGTATTTCTATTTATAGTAGAGACGGGGTCTCGCTCTTGCTCAGGTTGGCTTTGAACTCCTGACCTCGGCCTCCCAGAGTGCTAGGATTACAGGCGTGAGCCACCGTGCCCGGCCCCTTTTATTCTCTTAAATAAAATTCTCAATTTTACCCTCTTAAATATTGTTATAAACTCTGAATTGTTTTTATTTGTAATTGTCTGGTATTCGTTTGATATTTTGAAATTTTTAACATAATTGAAACCTTTGTTTTAGATATGTCTCTTGAAAACAAATAGTTTTGGATTTTACTTTAAAAGGCATTCTGCAAATCTTTTTCTTTCAATAGGTAAGTTATATCCATTTACAGTATTGATATAGTCAATATATTTGATTAAGACTCAGTTATGTTCTATTATTTATATATATGTACAAATTACATATATAATATCAGCAGATCTTTCACTAGAACATATATTTTTTTATTTGGTATACAGAATGGTTATTTCCCTTTTCTTGGGGCTACTTTTCCTTCTAAACAACCTTATTAATCTCCTTAATGTGGAAAGAACTCTTCCTAAAGAATAGAGAGACAGGCAAAAATATCTACAGGTAAGTCATATAAAAAACATACATATGCATTAAACTTTCAAAAACATGTAAAATTACAAGAACTAAAGAAATGTAAATTTATATCCTGGACCATCATGTTGAATAAAAAGGAACATGCTTAAAAATGTGATATTAATTTACAAAATAATACATGTATGTGCACATGTTTTCCTTATGTTATATATATGTGTGTGTGGGATTAGTGTGTGTGTGTGTGTATGTGTATGTATGGTAGATCCCCATTCCTGCCTCTACTTAGATGTGTGTGACCCTGTAATAGTGAGTTACCCTTTGTGACCCTGACTTGGGGCATCTGTCAAATGCACATACTGATACTTACCTCACTGAGCTGTTGTGAGGAAAAAATTAACAATGAGCAAATCTATATAAAGTGTCTAACATGTAATACTACAAGAAATATAGGTATTAGCATGCCCTATTAACTCCTTTCCACAAAGGATACACCTTTAACATGAACATCTCCTAAAGATAAAATAGATTTGAAGCAACAAGAAAGGGTATGTTTACATATTTCTATGATAGAAAAGCTTTGCTGTCTCTTCTTTGTATGACAAGTTTCCTGATCACAGAGTGGAAGACAAAGCAAATCATTCCCTCATTACTTTTTACTTGATGTCCTTTCTTACCATTTTCTTTTGCCTTCTGTTTTGACACTGGAATAGCAGCCTCCCATTGAGGCCCAGAGAGGAGACAGTACACGATGACAGAGCATGAAGATTGGTCTGCTGTACAACACACCAAAATCAGGGGATCTGGATCCCCAATACCAGATCTATCCTTGTGTACAGGACCATGGGGAGTTACTTCCCTGTACTTGCCTCAACCCTTCCACAGGAAAAGATTGTATTTCCCAATAGTAGGGAGGTGGGCCTTGGAGTCAGATAGAGTGGGGAGAAATATGTGTGTACATTTTAATAACTGGCTTTATGATCTTTAGGAAATGTTGAGTCTCCAAATAAATGAAACCCATATGTAATGTGCACACATTAAATATACCTGCATAGAGAATCAAATGGGAGGTAATGCACAAAAGTTATTCATTTAAAAGTTAATCAGTGATGAGGTTATTGATGAATTTACTTATCTCTGGAATTGATTATATTTTCCCAAATTTCAAATTAATATGGACCTTTTTAAATTTAGAATCAAATCTCAGAGAAATAGTAATTATGAAATATTTCCAAAATATACAAAATTATAGAATATAACAGACTTCTATGTACTCTTGTCAACATATAAAACATTTCATATGCAATTGAAACACTTTTTTTGAAACAGAGTCTTGCCCTGTTGCTTGGACTACAGTACAGTAGCATAATTGTAGCTCGCTGCACCCTCAAACTTCTGTACTCAAGTGATCCTCTTTCTCCAGCTTCCTGAGTAGCTGGGACTACAGGTGCGTGCTTCCACTCCTGACTAATTTTCCTATTTCTTGTAGAGATGGGGTCTTGCTCTTGCTCAGGCTGGTCTCGAACTCCTGGCTTCAAGTGATCCTCCTGCCTCAGCCTCCCAGAGTGCTAGGATTGCAAGTGTAAGTCACCGTGCCCGGCATGAAACACACTTTTAAGTCTTCTCTGATTGTATTAGGCTCCTTCTTTTTCAGAGGTAACCATTATGCAGAATTTGGGTTTTACATTTTTAAGACATTTATGTATACTTTTTTATATATGTATATATCTGTAAGTGAGATATGGTGTTTTTGTGCCATGATTTTACTTCTAAATACCTGGCTACCTCATGGAAAAGCAGGAAGGAAGAAACACGAGGAGAACAAATAGACATTTACATCTCAACAGTGGGACCTGTCATGTATGCCTCCTTGTCATGTGCACTCTCTTTCAGACTTACTGAAACAGATACATGCATTTCCTCAGTTTATGTGCTATAGAGAATACTTACAAAATCTGAAGATGTTAATTTCAAATCCCCTTTTTTTTCCCGATGTGTTCAATGTCTTAGTGTTTCCCCAGAGCCAACTAGCCTAAAACAATGTCTCAGTATATCTTGAATGTATAAGGTCTTCCATCTGTATGGGCCCAAGTCTTTCATTCAAACTGCTAGTCATGTAGGCTTATCCTGCACATGTGGAACCTAATCTGGGCCAAGCTGGTGGAAGAAGACAGTGATTGCCTGGAGTTGGTTTTTATATGTCCAGACTACTGTCCATATCCCTTGATTGGTTTAAGGATGTATCCCATTTAGAGCTTGATCTGATTTTGTATTATAATTGCTTGCCATGAGTATATTTTCCATTACATTTATTATTTTTAGTTACACAAGGAAGATACTTCAAAGGTGTTTGAATTCACATATGTTAATTGATCTTGGGGACAGAAGCCATAGTGTAGTGGGATAAAGCATCAGTGGGAAATTAACAATGTTAACAGGGTATGTGGAAAAGTCTTTATGGAATGTTAAATGTGAAGGGGAAGAGAGAAACCAAGAGAGAGGGAGAGACAGACAGAGACAGAGAGAGAGAAAGAGTGAGAGAGGAAAAGAGAAGAGATATCTCCATTATGTGGCTGCATGAATGGTGATAAATCCAATGAATGATTTTTGAAAATGTTCAATTTCTTGAAACTTGATCAAGTTTAAAAATTAATAGGTTGCTAGAAAAATTCCAGTGAAAAGAAATTAATGGGAAGGACCCATCTCATCTCAGATTTAACCATTGAAGTTGCCTATATATTCATTTTCCTTATTACCCATTTATTTCCACTTTAGAGATCATGAGATACTTCCAGTGGAATAGCATGAAATATGAGCTCAAATGTCAAAGAAATGCTAGTAACTGTTGAATTTTTGCCTCTTTAGGAGAAAGCAGATGGCTGAAATCCTGATGTGATGTGGCTGGATAATTCTGAAGACCCTGTGGTGGTGACTGTGGGACTGTAAAACAAACTGAGCAATCCAGAAGCAGCAGTTAGGCAAAAACCATGCCTTGCTTCCCTGGTGTGATCTATCACAGAGCTCACTAGGTGGGCTCAAAGACACACCTGTCTTCCCAATGTGGGAAAGTGGATATAGGTCTCCTCAGGGGCATGATGTTGAACAGCTCTTACAAGCTTCTGAAAGCACCCAAAAAATAGAGAAACTACTTTCTACAAAACTTTGAAGACAAGGAATAACACAGAGACATTTGCTTTCTTCAACTAGATGTCTGTTTTTTTAATAATGGGAAACAATGAGAAATGATTTTTCACAATGTCTCCTTAGCCCTGAGGCTCAACCAGCCCCTACTACTGTGTCTCTCAATTTGAAGGGCCATTGAATTCCCACTCCATGCCATATACTCCAGGTAAGTTTTCTTATTTACCCCTCAGGACAGCTCTGTAAGGATGGTGTAGTGTCAGTCCCATTTCCCAGATGACCAAGCTCAGGCTCACAGAGCCTAAGTCACCTCTCCAGATAAATGACAGGATTGGAAAGAGATTCCACCCCTCACCCTCCCTAGAGGACCCTGAGCAATCTCCCTTTAGAAGATGGGTTTCCAGGACTGGAAAAATGGTCATGTCACACTCCTCTGCTATTGTGGCCCCATGGGCCTCACTGAACATCAACATCTCTGGGTGATGAAGATGAAATCCTGGCTTTGTGCCAAAAGACCTGGGAGTAGGGCCACAGGAGTTGGCTGATCCCCGAAGTGGTGAGTGGGCTCAGGAAGAAGCTCACATGTTGCTTTTGGGACAGGTGAGCCAGAGGGAAATTAATATGTACTAAACTACTTTGAGCCAATGCAGTTTATATTTCATCTCCTTTAATCCTAACAGCTATTCAAGTTACCCATTATTATGTCAATTATTCAGATCAGGGAACTAACTTTAAGGAGAGTTTATGTAAATCAGGGAGACAACTTGTTTTCTCCAGATTAGCAGCTAACTCTAGAATTACTTAAAGTGTTTTTGGATTTTGACTTGATGCCTTCAGGGCTCTGAATGCTCTAATTTCCCTCAAGGCTGATAATATAGACACCCCAAGGTGTTTTTCAATGTATTTCATCTTCTTTAATCCTAACTGGCATTTAATTTGCCCAGTATTATCACCATTATTCAGAGAAGGTTACTGACCTTAGGGAAGATTAAGTAAATTAGGAAGATACTCTTGTTACCTCCCTATTGGAAGTTAATTCTGTATTAGTCTAAAGATTTTCCTATTTTGTCCTCATGCTTTCTGGGCACTAAATGATCTAATCTCCCTGGGGTCTGCCATTAAATGCTTCCAGGATGTTAACCTTTTTAGAAAAATTATGACCCAGGTAGTTTTTAAGTCACAATATTATTGAAGTTGAAAAACAACTTCTAAATTTAAAAAAAAACAGTATAAATTGTACCAAAATTTTGTGGAAAATATTTGCAGTCTACATAGGTTAATATGCATGGTTTGTGAACACACTAACAAAAAAATTGGCAAGATATTTCAACCTAGAATTCACATAAATTTATACATGAATAGTAAAGATGTTAAATATGCTAAAACGGCAAGAACTAATATGATGCAAATATTTAAAATCTTGAGAATTTACATTAACTGGAAAAGACAAATTGCAACAGAAGATGAGGACTGTGATTTCACTTTTGGAGAAGACTGTATGTAGGTATACATGTCCATGTCTACCTCACCCACAGGAACATGTCTGGAGAGTATGCTGTGGACCACAGACCCCTTAGGATCTGGGGCTAGGAGTCTGGCCAGTGAGATGTACAGATTCATTTCAATTCATATATGTGGTTTCTTACATTGTTTGAAATTTTCTTTTTAATTATAACTTATTTCCTTTTTTCTTTTTTTTTTCATACTTGCAGATATACATGGAATCGGTGTTTGAAATTTTATATTCAGGAAAAACTGGTTTGATAAAATATTGAAACAAAATACTTGTGAACAGATAGACAAAAGTGAGGTGCACATATATACTCTTTACTTTAGAAAAGTATTCATTGTATTTAATTTCCTTGGGAAACACAGTAGATGAAAAAAGTGAATTGACTGTGTGTGTGTGTGTGTGTGTGTGTGTGTGTGTGTGTGTGTGTGTGTGTGTGTTTCTAGCTCCTTCTAGCTCTACCACCCAAATACAAGTCACAATTGCAGCAGTTTTTTCAGTATAGGCTAGGCCTGGACTTCCAAGCTCAGGTTCATATATTCCAGAAAATGTGCTTTTTTTTTTTCTGTAATCCCAAAAAAGGATGGATATAGAAGATTTGCTGCAAGTATGTGAAAAATTCCAGAAAACTGCCTGATCCCATTAATCAAGCTCCCAACTTTAATCTCCCCCCGCCCCCACCGCCGCCGAGCAGGAACATAGGAGGGGAGGGGCTGTGGCCCAAGAAAACTCTATGGATCTTTCTGGAATCTCAGTGGATCGTGGGCATTCCCAGTATATAGGGATACTGATTGCCATCAGACAGACATTACTGCCTTTTGCTATAGTAAAGAGAGAGCACTATTTTACAGAAAGAAATAGATTATTTTAATTTTTATGCTATAGGACCATTGGATAAAGACCTATATAAGCAAAAATGGGTCCAGGCTGTATATTATCTTTGTAATTCTCCTTATACTTCTTATTACCATCTTTTCATGTAAATACATTTCTATAATATTTGAAATTACTTTACAACTTAATAATTTTATATGGACTTGGTATTTCATCGTTATGCCTCAAACTTTATTTCCCTAGTAGTGAAAATTTAGTTCCCTTACCACTTTCTATTATAGACAATAGTATACTTAACACCCTTGCTCATAAGTGCAAATATCTTTTATTTTTTTATGTTTTTATTTTTTTCCCTGTCCCCACCCCAACATGCCAAATATACAAATATATTTGTAAGGACTTCTTTTTTCTTTTATTTTCTTTTTCTTTTTCGAGACAGAGTCTTGCTCTGTCATTCCAGCTATAGTGCTGTGGCTTATATCACAGCTCACTGCAACCTTAAATTCCTGGGGTCATGGGATCCTCCAAACTCAGCCTTTGGAGTAGCTGGGACTACCGGCACACACCACCATGCCCAGCTAATTTTTTCTATTTTTAATAGAGATGGAGTCTCACTCTTGCTCAGGCTCAGGCTAGTCTCGAGTTCCTGACCTCAAGCAATCCTCCCGCCTTCGCCTCCCAGAGTGCTAGGATTACAGGCATGAGCCACTGCATCCAACCAGGATTTCTTTATAAGTTCTTGAAAGTGTCCTTTCAAACACCCGGAAACTCTAAAATTTTATATTAACATAATGAAATCAAAATATTCTTAAGTTATATTCCTAATATCAATATGAAAGTTCCTGTTTCTACCCACATTAGAAATAATGTGAATCATTGGTTATGTGATAGGCAAAAAATCATCTCTTTCTTATTTTCATTGTAACTTTTTTGTTCTCTTTTAGAATTCTGTCCTGATTGTGACATAATCAATTTTCACAACCCCATGTTATTCAGAGTGCTCTGATATTCCCTGTTATCAACACTGTGTGCATGGCATCTTTTTACTGCTAAAGGACACAGTTCAGAGCATGGTCTACGTGGCTATTTGCTCTGGTGAGCGGAATGTGTCCTCTTGGAGCCCAGCAACTGTCTTGGGAGAATTCCAGCATTGTGGTAACACAATATGGTGTCTGTGTGTGTGTGCACGTATGTGTGCATACGCTGACAGCCCCATTTTCCTCTGCTTCCTCTGTCCCTTTGTGTCTTTGCATCCTGTCTTGCCTCCCTTCCTAAATTCAGGCTTAGAAGTAAAGGAAGGAAATTATCAGGAGGGCAGTCCTTGTAACCAGACCCTTGTCAACATCCTTCACTGTGTCCTGAAGATAAACATGTAAGAGGAAGTGCTGATGTGAAAGGTATGCACCTATGTAGCCCTTGATAAGTATTGGTCTACAGACACTCATAAAAGTAGTTCCATTTAGACTTCCCAAGTGGAGACAGGAGAGAAAGGCCCCAGAGGAGTGAAGAAAGTACTAATGCTGATGTGATGATGCAGAGGGAAGGCCCCTCAACTCTGTGGTAGACAAACATGTTGGTCATTACTGTGATACAACGGAAGACCAGGCCAATATCATTTTTTAACAGCTTTCTTGCAATTAAACTTATAGACAATAAAATTCACACATCTAAAGGATATAATTTGATGAATTTTAGTAAATGTATACAATTGTGTAAGCATCACCAGTATAGAGTTTTAGATGTTTTCATCACAAAAAAACTCCCATTATGCTTGAATGCAGTTAATCTCTGCCACCACCTGCACCCCTAGGCAATCACAGATATGTTTTGTGTGTCTATTCTAGACATTTGTCTGTTCTAGACATTTCATATAATTGTGATAATACACTGTTTTGTCTTTTGTAGGTGACTTTCTTCACCTAGTATAACATACTCAATGTTCATTCATGTTGTACCATGTGTCAGAATTTTATTCCTTCTAATAACTGAAAAATATTCTAGTATGGGGATATACCACATTTTGCTTATCCATTCATGAGTTTATGGGCACTTGGGTTGTTTCCAGTTTTTGGTTATTATGAATGATGATTCCAAATACATTAGTGTACAAGTTTTTATATAGACATATATTTTTATTTCTCTCGGGTATGCATCTAGGAGTGGAATTGCTGGGTCATGTAGTAACTCCATTTTGAATGGTTTGAGGAGCTGCCACACTGTTTTCATGACTCTGACAGTCTTCATGAGTACAAGCTTAGTTAGTTCTTTTTCTCCTTTAGACTGGCGTTACAGCTTTGGGAACAAATACTACAGAGTTGAAATTCCCTTCTTATCACATCATATTTGGGAGTATGTGATGCTCAGATGGTGTCACTGATGATGTTAACCTTCATCTCTTGTTTAAGGTGGGGTTTGTCAAGTTTCTCCAGTTTTTCTAGTACAGTAACTATTTTCCATTCCCTACTTTGTTCTTCAAAAGTGAGTCAATGATCGGGGGTGGAATTAACCTTAACCTTAGGGAAGGCAGATAGCTACATACATTATTTAGCATTATTTGATCAAGACAATTTGTCTCCTCTCACCCATTTATTTTTTCAAACATTTATTTGTATCAATATGGATTTGTGTGAACTAATTTTGGGTTATTTTGCTGAGGGCATACATTCCAAAAGAAACTGCAGCATCCTGATTTCTGCAGTGCAGCCTAGAACGTGAGGGCCCAGGGAGATTAGAACACTCAGATTCCTGACAGCTTCAGGACACAAAGCTTTAGTGAAATTCCAGGCTCCATTACTGAGCAGGCATTAACAATACAGTTTCCCTGACTTACATCCCCTCTCCTGACTTCCTATAACCTGATGTAAAATGGGCATTTAATTATGTTACAAAGGTTATATACAGGAGATATAATTTAGAATACCATTGGGTTACATTAGTTTTAAAAAACATTAATATGCTACTTTCCCAGAAGAACTACCTGTTGTTGTGACTGAGTCCCCTGTCTGCCACCTTAAACGCCAGTGATTCACAGTCTCCAAGGTCTCTTGCCCCAGGGAGAGGATTTCTCTTCCACCATCATTATCATCATCGTCATCACCCAGAGGGTTCATTGAGTGAACATTCATGGGAGAGTGTGAAATGACTGGTCCCTAAGCCTTGATGGCCCTTCATCTATAGAAATCAGGGGGCATGTGAAATGTTTCCCAACCTTCCTTCATTATCCAAAGCAGCCTTTTTAGATGTTTTTGCCTCCTCATTAATCCCTTCCTGCTTGACAAATGAAATGTTAATACCACAGATAGAAACTGTTTATGTATTTTGGTCCTATGTAGTACCACAAATGATTGTAATGTCTACCATATTCCTACCCTCAAAACCCAATATTCAGCCCCTTAAGAGGGATATTGCACCTATTGAGAATACATGGAACAATGTGATGAGGGCAAAATCTGGAATTCTGTTCCTGTCCCTTAATTGATGTGTGACACTGGAATCCTTTCTTTGCCTCTGTCAGCCTGCCCTTGGTCATCTGTAGAAGGGGACTCACAATGCCTTCCTTAGGAAACTGTTCTGTGGGGAAAATAAGAAATCCTGTACAGAGTAGATGGTACCTGGTAGAACTTCAACAAATGGTCATCCTGGCCCACTTTTCTCCTCCCTCCTGGAGAAGTGATGACTGTTACCTAAACCAAACAGCATAATTGCCATAGAGACCACCGGGAAATGTAGTAGTAAGAAGTAACACATGCTCACACTTACATTATGAATAAAGATTTGGAGCCATTTCTGTATTGCAGGAAGACTTTGCTTAGGGATGTGGGAAGAGGGAAAAGATCATGAATCCATTTCCTTTAATTCCAGATCATTTTCTGCCCCCTTATTTGAGCTTCTAGATTGATATTGGAAAAGCAGTTTCCCACTGAGCCCCAAATGAAGAGAGAACAGATGAAGGGGAGGCAGGAGTCACAGCCTTTGACCCTTATACCGAATCCACTACCACCTACACTGGGATTCCACCTGCACCTTCAACTTCTTCAAAGAGAAGAGGGTTGTTAAGTGAGTACTCACGTGGGCACAATCTTACAAACGTTTAAGGCTATAAGGTTTTAAGTCCTAGAAGATAATGATGTATAAAATGTTGATAATTATCACTTTGGTTTGGAATTAGGGGAAAATATATCCTATTTTACTTGGAAGAGACTCCCTTAATATCTTTTCTTCCTTTTTGAGATTCAGGGATATTTTCTGTTCTAAAGGTTAGTGTCTTTCCTATGGTTGTGGTAAAGAATGCTTGAGTTTCCCTGACAATTATTTTGAATAACTACAAGACCACTGGGATTTTATCATAGTTATAAATAGATAACATAAAAAATAAATAACATTACTCTAAAACAATCACTCAAAGAAAATAGCTGCTAATGTTTTTATCTGTATAATATTCTTGCACAAGTTTTCTTATGTAGGTACATATATATTTATGCAGAGAAGTACCTATTTTATATATGTATATGCAGAAGCTAAACTATCCTACATTTAGTTCTGTAACCTGCTTATGTCACTAATAATATACATCAAAGATCATTGATTATGAATAAACTCCAGTCTATAACATGGATAGTAGAGATAATGGCAAACAAATACAGACAAAAAGAAATAGGAATAGCTAAAATGTGTTTTGTGCCAATGTGGTTTTTAGGTATCAAGTCATTTAATGCTCACAGCACGTTTACAAGATAGATATTGTTGCTAACCCTCATTTTCTACATGAAAAACCAAAGGACAGAGGGCATAAGGACTTTTCTCAAGACTGCACAGTTAGGGAGTGGGACAGCTTAGATTTGTTTCCAGCACATCATGCCCCATAGGGAGTGGGACAGCTTAGATTTGTTTCCAGCACATCATGCCCCAGAGCCTGGGAAACTGTCACAGATTTGCTATTAAGACAAAGAAGCAGTCTGCATATTTTAGGAGCTCATTAAAATTAATACTCAATACATTAATATATTTATACAAAAAACTGAACCTGATGATAAATAGGTGGATTGTGACTTTGGTGAGAGCATGTTCATTATAATACCAGGAACAGAAGCCACCATACAGTTGGACAAGGAGTCCATGGGAAGTAAAGAATGTGAACAGGGAATGTATATCCTCCACAGTAGGAACTTTGGAGCTGCCACTGCCCTTGCCCCATTCAGAGAAGCAGCCACCAATCTCCTTCCCTGCTCCTTTTGCCCCTATTCCCCCATACCATCCTGCTCTCACTTTCCAGGAACCAATTCTGCCCCTCACTCCCCAAAGTGGGGACCTGGACCCCAAGGAACCAAACACATTTTGACTCCCTCCTGTGTGTGCCAGTCCTTAGCAATATGTGGCCCCGTGGAATTCTTGCAGCCCCACCACTACCAGGAGGGCACTGCCAGCCCCACAGCCACGAAGACACTGAAGCTCACAGAGGTTGGATAACCTATGTAAACCAGGTGGCTCATGAGGGGAATGTCAAGGATCAGATTCAGTTGTGACCAACAGCCTTCCTCTTTACTGCCACAAGCTAGTGCCTGTGCATGCTGGCCTCTGCCCTGGGCCTTTCTCTGTTCTCACTGAGCTCTTCCTGGCAGGCCTGCCTGGTCTGACTGCGGGACTCTTCTGCAGCCTTTGTACATTTTTGCTAGAGGAGCAAATTCCCTTCCTGGTGGCTCTGGTTGGACAGGAGGGATTCCCTGGACTGGGATGGTCTTTCCTTGTTGAATAGTCATTTATTGTGTCTCCCACTGGACTCACCTCAGGGAAAAACATGTTGGGAAGCAGTTGCAGTTTGTGGTGACAGTCTGTCCTCTTAGGTACTTTTATTTTTCACTCACTTATCCTGATGTTCATCAATTGTGTAACATATTTTTTTTCCTCTTTCATCATTCATCTGACCTGGAAACTGCACTGAAAGCTGAGTGGATCTTGGTGAGGATAGACCCAGTTCTTGCTTGTCTCCTATGTGACTTGGGCAGGTCACCCCTTATGTTGATGGCAGTAATAATGGCACTATTTACTAAGCACCTACTATACTCTGGGCTCTTTACACAAGTCACCTCATCCACCCTACAAGGCAGGATAGGGGCCACTACTAGATGAGGGAGATGAGGCTCAAAAAGTCTGAGTGATTCCACTGAGCCCACCCCATGAATGATGTCATGGTTGGGATTTAAGTTGAGACAAGTGTGCTCAAGTTGTTTTCACTATACCATGCTGCTATCACTTCCCCTTTCTGGGTCCCAGTTTCCTCAATCATGAAATGAAGGATTAGACTAGATGGTTAATAGGCCCTTTTTCAGCTTCCTGGGTAAACAGCTATATGATAAACAGAGAACACATATAACTCATTCCACTCCGATCTCTCTTAAAATCTTTTCTCCACCTACGTACTTTCATATTTTCTTGAAATAAAATAAAAAATGAAAAAAAAATCTCTTCTCCATCCAGTGGCCAGAGACCCTTTAAAGTGTAAACCAGATAATAGCACTTGTCACATTCTGTGAGGACTTTGTTTACTTGTTTATTGTGTGTCTTTCCCCAGGGGTAGAAGCCTTGTCTGTCTGCTCACAGCTGAATCCTCAACACAGAGAACAGTGCTTGGCAGTAGGTGCTTGGGCAGTAATTGTTGATGGAGTTGAGTCAGCACTGCGTGGTGGCTGGGTTGGTAGGCAGAGATGGGGCAGGGTGGGAGTTGAGTTTGTAGGGAGAACTTGGCTGCATTGGGTTGGTCCTTCCCAAGTGTCAGTTGCAGAAAATTATGAAGTTGGTAAAGTTGGTCTTCGGTTCTTAAGCTTACTCCCTTGACTATCATCCTAAGCCCATCTCTGCCAGATGCCAGCTCATTTTCCCCAAGGTCTGATGAGCTGTTTCTGCCTCATAGATACATACCTATATTTTAACAAGATCTGAGAAGGACATAAACCACTAGAGATCCAAAGGAATGCAGTACTAATTGTGGAATTTTATACGTTATGTAACATATTAGGGGGAAATTCATGTCTAAGCAGGACATCAAAACCTTTCTGGTATGCAGTGACTCACTCCAGAGGGAGACAGCCACCTGAAGTTTAGATTCACCCATTCCAACCTTCTCATTTGACCAAAATGGATCTGAAACCCAGAGAGGGGAGTAATTTGCTTGAGGTCATATAGTAAGACAATGCCTGTGCTATATGGCCCAATCCTTCTGACTCCCGGTCTTTGCTGCTCCTCAATTATTTCTGAACTGTGCTGCCACAGAGGAGTTTGGGAGAGGGGTGTCAAGTAGGAGGATTCCAGATACCCCACGTACCTCCTTCAGAGAAGCTAGTTTACACATTGAGGTCTGTTTAAAGAAAGGTTTCCACCACTAAAAGAAAAAGTTTGGAAATGACAGTGAGCCTGGGTAAGGGGCATGTGTGGGTAAGGATTTTAGAAAGGTGGAGGGAGTGGGAGGATAGCCCCTTTGTGAGGCTGTACAGACAGTATCTGTAGCATCCCTGGGACAGTTTGGTCCAGGGAGGGAATATTTAGTAGGTAATATTCCTAGGGGAGAAATTGGTCTATAAGGGAAGAGCATGCTCAGCATGTGGCATACAAGGAAAAGAAGAAGAAAGTTTGGTATGCTTTAGCCACTATACCAAACATTTTTCTTAATAGATGTTTGTTGACTGAATAAATTATCAAGATGGGCCTATTCCTGTATAAAGAAACAGGTAAGGTGCCCAGACTGTTCAGAGAGAGAGAGGTCTTTGAAGAGAGACAGGAAGCAGAACATTTCCAATCTTTACTTACCATCTTGATTTGCAAATCCAGCCCTCCACAGGGTAGTCATTTCCTTTTTGGGGTCTATGATACTGGCCAACAACACTGAGATCTCCTATCTCTGCATACTTGCACATATAATACTTTTTTCACAGCTTGCTTTCCTTTTATAAATTGTAGAACATAAGAGGAGATTCTAGGAGAGTCTTCCTACTTGGGAAAACAGGCACAGAGAAGGAAAATGAGGCCACACAGAAGGCCACACAGAAATTCCAGTCTAGCACTGCAGCCCCTAGAAACTTTCTTGTCCAGAAGTTTACCCTCTAGATTCTGTCCCTGTGACAAGAACCACGTCAAAGGTGACTTTAACACATTGACTGCCACATTAGAAAAAAAATGTTTTCCCTTGGGTCATGGTGTTTTATTAAAACAAGATGATCCTTTCTAATTTGCTGGGTTTTATTGTTTTCTGTTCATGAATTATATGCAACACAATCCACGTTTTTAGAATTAAATTGTCAGTATCAATTGTAAGAATATGAACATCAAAAAGTAAGATTTTCACAAACCAATTGCAGAGTTTTGCTTCACGTGGCCTGCGTATAAAACTAGCCTTAGTTAAATGCAACTCACATGGCAGTCAGTGTGTTAAAGACGGCAAAATCCTGCCCCATGAGAAGGGTCCAGGGAAACTAGGGACAGAGAGAAATATAATAGGCTAGGCAAGCCAATCTCATGTCTCCCTAGGCCTGAGGAAGATGTCGCTCCAGTCTCTTCTCCCCATGGGCAAATCTCTGTTGGGCTAGGCAGTTTTGAGCAGATCTGGGAGACTGAGGTGGGCCCTGTGTGCTGGTGGCCCACGCCCAGACATTTAAAGGTAGAAACTAGGGTCATATATACCTGGCCTGTGTATTCCTTCTACAGCATCAGAACTGATAGGTCTGATGTGTGTCATATTTGAGGAACTGTTCCAACTTTGTGCTCCCCTTGAACACCTCATACCAATACCCAGACAGGGGAAACTTGCAGAAGCCTGGGCCAATCACACCTGCCCTGGGCCTGTCTGTGCAAAAGGGAGGGAGGTGGGAAGGTATGTGTTACCTGCTTTTCATACCTGGCTGGACTTAGAACTTCTCTGGGCACCTCAGGGTGGTGGGGGGCACCAGAGCCTAACAGAGTCCCAACTCACCCATCCTAATCACAGACTCTGGGTATCTTAATAAAATACACTTAAAGCTTTAGAATCATAGTGCTTTTTTCCCCTAATGTTGAGATGAACCTGGAGG